TGAGACTGCGTATCGGAAATTCTAAAGATATGCTCAATTTAAAATTATTTTGCGATTTTGCTCTTACACTGAATTTTATGGTTTAAGTGCGAAGAACATTATATTTAATAAATAAAGTTAACACACAAAATGTTAAAAAAGGCCCCTTTGGAATTAAATTTGGCCCCTTAAATTTGGAAACACACTACTTGAAAGCGCCTTTAGAGGCAACTACTTTTGACTGTCGGAACAGGTCATACAGAAGGCACGATAATCGCTGCGATGAGCGGGAGTTGAAGAAATATTTATTAGCTTTTTGAGAGAGGCAAAAACGTTTTCCAGAAGAGTTTTCAGTAGAGGAAAATCCTCTTAAAATATATACCAAGAATTAACTATATAAACTAGTTTATACCATTTTATGCAATTTATCAGTCATCTATTATGCTTGTTTACTGTTACAAATCCCTCCTAAAATCAAGCACTACGTTTAGTTTGTGAGTAGTACAATTTAAGCGCCACGGCCACTCCCATTTTAATTGCCTGATTTGCAACAAATTGTCAAATCCATGCATAAAAGCGAAAAATCGTAGAAGCATAAAGTTTATATCATAAGCAGAAGGGGAAAAAATCAAAAATTACCAAGGGTAAAAAACATTATTAAATCATGTAATGCTCATTTTTTTTTTTTTTTCTTTTTGACGCAGTGATAAAAATAAAATGATTTAGAAACAATGTATGAGTCATTCGTTTTTATTCTACTTACATTCATCTGGCCGAAAAACTTCAACTACCAATTTCTTGCTGCAACTTATTTTTAATCTATTTATTTTTTAAGCTTATTTTATTCATAACACCCGGAAATGAAAGAGCATTAGAAAGAAGAAATTCCGATTCAGGTATGTTGATATTTTACAATCACTGAACCGAAAGTTCTTTTACTACATACCATTTATTGATCACTTTTTATTTTTTAATTATGATAAAAATTTTGACAATCTGAGGTAACTGTAGAAGAAAATGTATCTTAAGAGCATTAGATATACATACTCAGAGGAATTAGTTTAAACTTCGGCTCATTAGACACTACTTACAAGACTAAAATAATCAACAAAGTACACCCTAAAAACAAATTATTATGGAAATAAGTGATTAGTAGCTTCAGACAACTCCAAAAAGCATTCGCACGTGTGCTTTGGTAAGCATATAAAAGTTTCGTTTTTTGCTCTTTTATGGTATAGTACTAATTCAGAGAATCTTTCTGCATGAGTTTATAAAAATAATGAAGTCATTTTATTAGAGCAATTTAAATAATTTATAGCAAACGTTCTAATTAAATGTACTATGTAAAAAGGTACGTAGAAAAGTGTATAAATATCAGCATTCTTTTGAAATATTCTTAAAATGTATCACATTTTGATTTCAAAGTTTGAAAATTGTTTCAACGCGTTCGGAGTGCTTTAAACACTTTAAACTAATCTTACTTTTTTTATTCTCGAAAGGTTATATTTCTTTCACAAGTTTCATTTTTGATTGTATTATAAAAACATAAATTTAATTCACTTTATTTCAAGTATCTTGATTGCAATTTCTGTTTTCAAAACCGAAATTCGATTTCTTTTCAGGTTTCTTTAAAATCTTTAATTATGAACGTTTGACGCTTTTGCACTATTTTTAATTTACATACCTAACTATAAACGTAAAGACTACTTCAGCTTCTGTTATTTACTTCTTAATACAGTTAACAGAATAGCATTCCAAATGCAAACTTAAAGCAGTCTGCATTTGTATAACTTGAAACAGTAGAAGAGGACTAAGTTACAAATTCTCATATTCTTAATTTTGGTAAAAATGGCAAATAAACATGAATAAAATTCCATGGGTTTAAGAATACTCTAAAAATAGTATACTATAAATTTTGTTTACTCTCAGTATTTCATTGTAAAGAAAAAGAAAAAGTATTTAACGTAATTTTTAAATTGAGCTTAGGAATATTTACATAAAAGGATTCATATGCAAAATAAAACTCAAACACTTAATATAGCCGCATTTGGATGTTTTAAACATTTTACGTATCTCGCAGGATTTATTTTAAAACACCTCTATGATTTTTTTTTCCCAAAGGGGCTTTGTCTCTGAAGGACTATTGTTTTCGTTTTGCGATTTTGCGTTGAATCACTCTGAATGTCCGTTTCACTTTTAAAACTGTTACCACCAAATATTATCGCCCTGTATTATATTTGAAGAAAGTAAATAATGAAAAATCTGCATAAATGTATGTCTATTTCTCACATTGTGATAAAACAACGGGACGTAGAGCCATCGAATTTTGAATGACGTAATCCTCCTACGAATATGGGCATGTGGAAGCCCAAATTTGAAATTTGGAATTTGTTTTATTATCGATTTCCTATTTTGTAACACTTTAATGAATTTTTGGTACTTTTCCGTTTTGCCGGCGCAGGCGATAAAGTCGTCAATAATGGTAACTGATGCCAAACGGAATATCCTCGCTGGTAACCTTTCACGCCTCATTTTCAAAACAAGTCGCAGCCATTTCTTATCAGATTTGATTGTAAATACTGGCATACAATTGCATAGAATTTTTACCACATAGTTCAATTTTATGCCCTAAGGCCATTAGCGGTAAGTAAGTCAATTAGGATGCAATCACACCGCTTACCCGAAAACGAAAATAGAGTAAAGGTAAAGTCAAGGGTTAAATTCAGCAATTCTAACGAGACTGCACTTGAAAAGTAAAGCATTGTGGTTTTACATAATTTCTGAGTAAGCTATCAGTACGAATTGAAATAATTCTTGCATTTAAACTTGTATTTCAAATTAAGATTTAACTTGAAATTAATGTAGATAATTACTCAGAGAATTATATTTTTGTAGTGTAATTTACGTGAGATGAGATCACTTCAGCTTGTTGAACCATGAAAGCATAATAAATTCTTAAATTAATGTCTTTTTACAAATTTATTGTCTTTTTACAAAATTTTAAATGATATTAAAGTGTTTATGCCTTCAAAATAAAAAATTCCTAGAACTAACATGTGTTAACATTTTTCATGTGTATACTTTATGTTGTCGCCGATAAAGCCTGCTTGGCGAGATTTGCGCCGGCGAAACGGAAAATTACCGAATTCTTTATTAACAAACTCAGTGATCTCAAAGCGAGAAATGGCAACATTGTACAGACAGAAACATTTTTATCTCCAGAGCGCGAGACTCTGTATCCGAAATTCTAAAGATATGCTCAATTTAAAACTACTTTTCGATATTGCTCTTGAACTGAATTTTATGGTTTAGGTGCAAAAAACGTGATATTTAATAAATAAACGTAACAGACAAAATGTTAAAAAAAAAAAAACGCCCTTTTTGACGTAATTTAAAATCTGAAACCTTTCAGATTTTTATTTTTATTTGAACCCATTAGCGCTTCCGCTAGGGAACCCGTTGGCGACAATGTATATTTTGTCGCCAAACTCGCCATTGGTTAGTTTTACGCCATACGGTTAAATTTTGAAATAAAACATTATAGTTTTGTACAAATGTGAGACACTGTATGTAGTAAAGCACATACAGTGGCTCACATTTGTTTTTCGGTCACTTATGTTTTACAATTTTATTTGAAAATATCGGTTATTAAATATTAGAATTTTTTTTCCCTCCCACATACTATATTATGATTACCTAGTTTAAAATTACTCAAGAAGATAAGAAAAGGAACTCGCATAAGAATTCGAACACTTTAAACAAAAGTTTAATAAAAATCACGGAAAATTTAATTTATAACGTTGAATATCCTTCAGCTAAAATGATACTTTTCATGCTCTTTGGATTCAACTTTTTTTTTTTTTTTTTTTTTTTTTTTTTGTCAGATTGTTCCATTCCCGCATAAGATTTGCTTTTAGTATAACTTTGGAAAAAATATCACGTTTTCTTATTCTTTTCTTCAATTCACTCTTTGCATGTTCGATAGGATTTGGAGAATATTTAGGAGTTTTGGTAATTTCAGGACACTTTTATAATAACTAGTATATAGGGCTATGTGTTTAGAATCATTAGCTTGATAGAACTTGAATGTAATTTGCATTCCAAGTTTTCTTGCAGATGCTTTCAGGTTTTCGTTAAGAATAATCCTATATTTATATGTTATCCATATTACTTCCGATAAATACGAAATATTTTATTCCAAAGGCAGCGAAAGTTTCCCAAACCATTACTATGCTTGTATCTCCTTGCCTTAAATTCGTAATTCTAAATGATTCTTCTAAAACCTGCAGAGTTCACTTTTATCACAAACTCTTCTTCTAAATCTTCTGAACGTTTTACATTACTAATTTTTTAGGCGTTGCTTCGTTTTTCGTGCAATAAATCTGCGATTTCGTGGTTCAACGGTTACACGCAATTTCCATGGTATTATAATTTAAAAGATACTTAAACATTTTACATGAAAGATATTTCGAATACTTTTACAATGTTTAAAAAAATTAATTATAAAATTTCTAAGAGAATTGGTAGTCATTTTGTCATATTCACTTGATACGGAAATATTAACATATTTTGCTAAAAACTGTTAATAATTTTCAAATGCAGACGATAGTTCTTGCGATGCATTTTCATTTAAAACCAAAAATTACAATGCGAAACGTTATCTACCAAAGCATTTCAACAAAAATTTAGAGTACTGAAATCTTATGTAAGTTACTGAACTTACTTTTTGAACAAATTATTTTAGTACAAGGAATATTTTGATGACATTGCTTTGCAACAAGCTTAAAATAGAGAGAAAATAATGGACTAGAAATAAAAGTCTGTCTTTTAATATTTAGCACAAGATCTATGTAAATCAAAAATACACGAGTCCGAAAACAAACGTGAACCGCTGTATGAGTCTATTGAGGCAATTATATCAGAAGGTTACAAATTATTGTGTGTCTTTTAAATAAAATAGTAAATACTCCAATTTGTTTTAAATTTGTTAATATAAGGGCTCAATAAATTTCAAGACTTACCCCTTTGATGATATTCTTGATGCTGTATTATATACGTATGTCGGATAGCTGCTACGAAAAAAACTAGCATCTTCTCTAATAAATCATTCTTCACTAAAAATAATCATAGACATGACTTAGTTTTTCTTAGATTTTGTATTGACATAATATTATTTATATTTTTAGTTTAAAATAATATCTAACAATATTCTATTACAGCCAATTCAAAAGTTCCAAAAAAATAATATTCTATTACAGCCGATTCAAAAGTTCCCAAAAAAAAAAAAAAAAAAAGTTAAAGTTCTAAATAAAAATTGCTAGTTCTACGGTTATCGTTTGGTCTTTTTTCTGTTGCCAAAAAAAGCTCGAATCAATAACTATTTTCTTCTCCTTTTTCTTTACTGGAGTAATTGCCAACAAGTCAAATTTAATATTTTAAACTTATTTAGCACATAGGATAATATTAAGCATATGCAGGTCAAATTTAGATAAAAAGTAGTTGATCAAGCATATTAAGTACTTGTAAGTCAAATTTAGCTTGTTAAACATGATCATTAATACAATTGAATTCAGATTTGTAGAAAAGCATGATATTAAGTATATGCAAGTAAAAATTAGCTTATTAAATATGATATATAATACAATTAAATTCAAGCTGGTAGAAAATTGCTTTATTATATATAAGTAAATATTACCATAAATTAAGTAAATGTTAGTATTAATATTGAAATAGATTTCTTATTACTTCTATTATTAGAAAAGAGTTAAAAGGATTAGCCGGTTAGCTTCGTTCTTTAGAAGTGCTTTGTATTGCTTTCTGTTTAACGTTCTTAATAGTTTGAAGTGATTGTAATCTATGATAGTGTTATCTATGATAGTGATTGTAATCTATGATACTGATTGTAATCTATGATAGTGGGAAGAGCTGTACGACTATTTTTGTGGAAATTTCTAGAACTGTGAGGTGCTTCTTTTTGGTAAAAATAATTTTATCAGGCTATCATCCATTATGTGTGCATTCAATCTGTTACAAACCTGTACGCACACAACAGTATTAAAAATTTTGAATAAAGCAAAATCTGAAATAGCGTGTTTATCGAAAAGTAAGTTAAAGAATACTTCTAAAAAATATAGATGTATATTAGAAAGATACCAATGAAATTTAAAAAATAAAACTTTTGAGTGACACAGTGACAATCTCTACTGTTAAAGCATAATCATAATTCATAAAGTTAAATAACAATGATTCAGAATTCAACAGCTTATGATGCATTATAGGATTGCCGTAGACAGTTGGAGTTATCAGTGAGACAGAACCCTGATTTATTATGGCATGAACTACTAGAAACATCAAGAACTTATTAGAAGAAGTAGGCTATCTATATTTACCATTATTGAGAATTTTCCAGAAAGCCTAGGTCACAGTTTACTTAAAGTTCTTTGAACTTAATGTCATACTGTAACAGAATGGTATTCAGGATTGTTACAGAGGAATAACAATGATTCAGATGCCTCTGAAACTACAACCTTTCTCTTGTTTCTTAATGAATGCTTTTAATGAGCACCAAGAAGTCTAAATTTTCTTAAATTTTGAGTTAGGACGTTTAAAATTTCTAAAGGTTTTATTTGAAAGATTCGAATAATAAATAAAAAAGTGCTGACATTATTTATTTGGTATTTCAGACTTTCCTATGTCTTCTTGAAACTGATGGTTTGAAAGGGGTGTTCTCCGACTGCGCTAATGAAAATCCCCCCGGGCCGAGCTATAGTCCAGCTGCGCCAATCAAAATTTCTTCCCCCTGCTGCCTACAGGGTTACAATTTAACATTTCGAAGCCAATTGTAGCCAAGAGGAAAATAAAAATAAAATAAATAGAATTACATATCACGAGAACAAGTAAAAAATATCTAACAAGCAGGCTAATTACTTGAATAACAGTAATAAATGCGAGAGCTAACAAAGAAAATAAAAAGTATTGGTAAACATACATATTAGCATTACAAACATCTTTCATTTATTGTAATAATATCATGAATTAAATAATTATAAAGCATACAAACTATATTTTTAATAAATTACATCAATAATAGTCAAGATGTCTGAACTAGACTGGAAAATTTAATATAGTTCAGTAGCGTGCAAAAAAATTATTCTATCTAAAAGTGGGTTAAAGTGTGCTAAAAATATTTTTTGTTAATTAAAGTAATCATGCAAATGTTTGCAGAAATTAAATTTAGTTAAATTTTAAAAAAGTTTAGCATGAAATCTATTATAACAACATTACTATGCATTTGGAACACAGACGTAGAAATTGTAAATAAATTTAAATTATTATGCTAAGAAGTTTTTTCTAAAATTTATCTAGAAGAAAGGAATTAGATAAACAATACTGCAATTTAAAATAATAAATCAGGCCTCTCAATAAATAAAAGTTTATTTTTTAACCAAAAATTAAAAATTGGGATGCAAAAGTTTGAGTAATATACTTGGAAATATCTGAACATATAATTAATTAGAAATGTATAATTAAATTTATAACAGTCTAATTAACAGTAACATTAAGCTTAATTTCATTCAATCTAAAACAAGCAATCGATCAGGAGCTCCGCAAAACGGAAGTTTTAATGCTATTTTACGTAGATTTGCGTATAAAATAAAAGTTGCATTTGTGAAACAAGTGAATAATGTACTGATAGTCAACAGGAATTAAATTACAGTGGTTAAAAATATAACTACTTGTCAGAAGGTATGCAAAGTTGCCATGGCTAGAGAAACTGAATGATTGTAGAAAACTCATAAAGTTAAGCGCTAAGTGTGAAAAGAAAATTCTGAAATAAACATGTTAAGAAAATTAGATGGAGAAATAATCCTTAATTTTATTGATATCCAATATAAAATTGTATGCTTTTGGAAAAATGTTACATATAATTTGCACCGAGGTATCAATCACACCAAACCGAGTTAATTTCTTTCCTTATTTTTTCTTATTAGAGGGATTTTAAAAAGATATACTAAGGTAAAGGTGAAAATGTTTTCAATATTTTTAAAGAATAAATTAAAAAAAGTATTTTTACTTCATGAACTGAAATTTTTCTGCTACATTTTTACACAGTAAATAAGTACAAAAAAGAAAGAGCTGGAGGATCACTGGGACTAGAAACTCGGGTCGAACTACTAATGTTTAATGACTTTTCCGCTTGATCATAAGACCTTTTGAAATTAGGCTGAACAATATATCAAAGAAAATGGAAGATACAGCACACGTAAGAACAAAAGTGAGCTGTATTAGAGATTTACATGTTTAATGAATGAGTTAAACTTACCTGTATGCCATTATGAAATATTAGGAATGTAAAAGCATGAGTGAAGAAGGCAATCGCAATTTAATCATTGTAATCTAAATGCATAACATTATCAGTATCTACTATTAATTTCAATATTGCTAAAAAAATTATAAATAAATTATATTATAAATCACATGAACTCGTTGCATTATAAATTACAACAGTTAGAAATATTATTAGCGTGATTTAGTGACCATCTTTGTTAACAAATAATTTCAAGTAATTAATTTTACAAATAATTCAGGTTGAAACTAGGTTAGAAAATAAGCTACATGCTGAAGATTAAGATTTGCCAAGGTGTTAGAAACATCTTCTGTTAACTAGAGTTGTGATGCAAGAATTTGTAAAAATTATCATTTAAATATAAATTTGCATAAATGCAATACAAAGTATATAAATTCTACAAACGTGAAAACTTGAGTACAGTGCAATAATATGAGAAAAAGGAATGGATTAAAAGGGAACTGAAAATCCCAGCACATGAATATAAGGGAGTTTGATTTGTTTTTTTTTTTTTTTTTTTTTTTTTTTTTTTTTTTTTGTTACTTAGGAAAATTCTGCTGACGCTCATAATTATTAATTTATTAATTAAATGTGTATTAGAAATTAAATGTATGCCAAAGTACATCTGGTGTAAAACTGAATAAATATTTAAACGTTTCTAGTATTAAAATATGGAATTTGTAACAAAGTAAAATAACCTTAAAATAACTTCAATGACAAAAAATGGAAAGCTTAATACGGGAATATATTGCAATAATATTAGTGTGAATTTAGAACGACTTAAGAAGTCCAATTTTTAGATTTAATAAAGAGAATTTTTTAAATTAAATTAGAACTGTTTACCTAAAAATGGTAAATTTGAAAGTTAAACCATTCTGCTATCTAAGAAGATTTGTAATATTTATCTAGACAAGAAACTTATTTAAGGTGCTACAAATCCGATATTTGATAGGTGATTAGGTTCGTTTTGGTATGTCTTATCTGTCAATTTTACTATTCAAACGATATATATATATATATATGTAGTATCCGTAAGTGCGACACAACCACCAGAGGGCCTCACCGATGCGCCAGCAGCGAGGTGAAAGAGAGTATGACATACAGAGAGACTCTTCTGCTATCCCACGCGAAGTGGTGAGCTGCACGTGAAGGTGTAGAATAAGGAACTGTAGTTTTCCACGCGAAGGTGGTAAATTGACTGTACTGTTTAATACATCAGCAAATGCGAGTAGGCACTAATCGGTTATGTGATAAGACTGGTAAAAGCTATACATAATCCTGTTTGTATCAAACGGCACTTGTATTTAATCTAATTTGTACCTTTTCTGATTATCTTTATTAAATGTTCTGTGGTGTGGAAAACAAAGTTGGAATTGTTATTTAGCATCTTCAACTCCCCCACTACAGAAAATCTGGGGGCCCTGTCCGGGATACTTGATTTTGGGATACTTCAGAGAAGGTACTGTGAAAACTTTGCTTTATTTCTTTCTTGAAGATAGTGATACTTTTGTTTCGTTTTTAAAATGAGTTTCCTAAATAATTTAAAGAAAAGTGATTTAATAGTAATTGCGGAACAAATTGGACAGACTGTTCCAGAAAATGCTAAAAAAGCTGAAATTAGAAAAATTATCGAAAATTCTGATATTTTCAAAACGAACGTTGAATTTGTTCGTGGCGTCGTCAAGTCGATCGCAGAGGATCGGACACCTAAAACAAGTAATGAACACTATTTGTTAGAGATCGAACGTCTTAAATTAGCTCAAATTGAGAAGCAGATTGAATTAGAAAGTTTAAAATCACAATCATTATCGAGTGATAGAAGTATTAAAAGCGTCAAAACACTAACTATAGCTGTACCTCAGAAACCGGAAGCTATGCATTTGTTTTTTCAGTCACTTGAGAAAGCTTTTACTACTAAAA